GGACTTCGTTAGTTTTTTTTTTTTTTTTGGAAGATTAGCCCTGAGCTAACTGCTGCCAATCCTCCTCTTTTTGCTGAGGAAGACTGGCCCTAAGCTAACGTCCGTGCCCATCTTCCTCTGCTTTATATGTGGGACGCCTGCCACAGCATGGCTTGCCAAGCGGTGCCATGTCCGCACCCGGGATCTGAACCAGCGAACCCTGGGCCGCTGAAGCGGAACGTGTGCACTTAACCAGGCCAGCCCTGGATTTCCTTAGTTTTTGCCTCTTTCTGTTCCAGGATCCTATCCAGGACACCGTATTACGTTTGGTCATTTCGTGTCTTTAGGCTCCTCTTGGCTTTGACAGTTTTGGACTTTCCTTGTTTTTGATGACCTTAACAGTTTTTACTGGTCAGGTATTTTGCAGAACCTTTTGGGATTGGTCAGATGTTTTCTTTTTGATTAGACAGAGGTTATGTGCTTTTGGGAAGAAGACCACAGGTAAAATGCCATTCTCATCACTTCATGTCAAAGGTACATCATCTCAAGATGACGTCACTTGGCTGAGGTAGTGTCTTGGCAGGTTTCTCCAGTGGGGGTTATTTTTACCCACGTCCACACTGCATGTACTCTTTGGAAAGAAGTCACTCTGTGCAGCACACACCTAAGGAACGGGAGTAATGCTTCACTTCCTTGAGGGCAGAGGATCTACAGAAATTACTTGGAATTCTTCTGCATGGGGAAATTCTAGTCTCTCCCCCTTATTTATATCAGTATAGACTCATGGATATTTATGTTATACTGTGGATTATGATCCAATACTACTTTATTCTGTTGCTCAAATTGTTCCAGCTTTGGCCATTGAGAGCTTTTTCAGTTGGCTTCTGTGTCCCTTTGACATAACCCTATCTTTTAACATTATTTTTTAAAATTTATTTTATTTGTTTTATTATTATTTCTTTTGCTGAGGAAGATTTGCCCCGAGCTAACCTCTGTTGCCAATCTTCCTCTGTTCTGTATGTGGGTTGCCACCACAGCATGGCTACCAACAAATGGTGTGGGTCTGTGCCTGGGAACCAAACCTGGGTTGCCGGAGATGATCATGCTGAACTTAACCACTAGGCCACAGGGTTGGCCCATTTGTGTTTTTCAGTACTTCTTTACCTTCTGGCACTACAGTGTTCTCCAGGCATGTGTTGTACGTTTTATGCCCCAGCCCTAGAATCAGCCATCGTCAATGGAGACTCAGCCATTTCTCCAAGGAGACTTGATTCCTTTTATTGGGAAATGGTATTAGAAACCTAAAACTGGGAGCTAAGTGTGCTCATTGCTAGGAGTGTTCCTGCTTCTAGGCCCTCCCAGCTGACGGTGCAAGGAAATACACATAACCATAAATATTTCTCTACAGAATCATCTGTATTGGTATGAAGCCAAATATGCATTCATCCTGGTGTCTCCAACTGTAATTCATTACCATGTGGATCGTTCTAGCCTTCTCCCCTGGCTTATCTGTAACCTCTCATGCCAATAGTAAGAAAACTGGCTCCCACCACGTGCCATCTATATCACAGTGTCTTCAGCAACTATCTGCAGCAACTACCTGGAACTTTCCATAACTTCCTCCTGTTTTTTAAAATGCGTGGTAGAATATTATACAAACTGCTCTGTATTTGAATATTCCACTGGGCAGACAGCATATATTGACACCATCCCTTGCTAGTTTGCACAGATCTGCTTTGTGGTGTTGAATGGCTGTGTAATACTCCATGGCGTGAATGTTCTTAGTTTAGTCAACATCTTGCCTATTGACGGGCATCCAGGTTGTTTTGCTACAACGGTGCAGCAGGATTACGTTTGTTTTGGGGAACATGTGGGAGGATTTCACCAAAGTGAAGTGCTTGATCTAAGGCTATGGATGTTAAAAAAATCTCTGATACCGTCAAATTACCTTCCAGAGACTGGCTATTTTATACTCTTACCATCAGCACGAGTGCCTGGTTCCTAATGCCAGCTGTGAAGGAGAGATGAATGTCAAACTTTGATCTTTGCCAATTACACGTGAAGGGAAGTCACTCTTCATTACGTGTGTAACACAAATCCATTTTCCTAACTCTAGAGAGGGGTATTCTATGAAATTTTTACATTTTTATGTAGTCAGTTATTCACTACTCTTCCAGGATTTTGTGTCATGCTTAGAAAGGCTTTTTATTTTCCATATTTTCTCCATGTACTTTTATTTTTATGGTTTACTTAAAAAAAGAATCTCAGACATGCAAGCAGGCATAATGGACACCTGCACGCAGAGCACCCAAGCATTACTGAGAGGCGAAGCCCTGCCCTCCCTCCACCCTCCCTCCTCCCTCCCCTCCTCCCTCCTGGAGCCAACCACTACCCAACGCGCCGTTTCCCATCCCTGTGGCTGGTCTCTGCGAGCTGCTACTGATCCGTTCGCTACTACTCCATGCAGAGGTGAGGAGCTGGCAGTCAAACATAAATCCACCTCGTAACTGGTTAGCCAACTGTGTTTGTGTGGGCGACTTTCTCACAAAGGAAGCTGTGTGTTAACCTTCTGGTGCACTTACCTTAGCACAGACGGGCGCTGGCCCGTGGGCCAGGTTAGAGACTGTCACGTAGTATTATTTTGCATATTTTGAACTTGATATATACACTGCACTTATTTTCACTGTGTGTGTGTGGGAATTTCTGTTGATACCTGCAGTTCTAATTTATTAATTTTCCTTGCTGCTGTGATTTGAACATGCCTCAAATGTACTTATCCATTTTTTTGCTGCTGTTGGTCATTCAGATTGTTTCCAATGCTTTTTTTCTTTTTAAAGATTGGCACCTGAGCTAACAACTGTTAGCAATCTTTTTTCCCTTCTACTTTTTCTCCCCAAATCCCCCCAGTACATAGTTGCATATTTTAGGTGCAAGTCCTTCTAGTTATGGCATGTGGGACACCGCCTCAGCATGGCCTGATGAGCGGTGCCATGTCCACACCCAGGATCCAAACCAGTGAAACCCTGGGCCGCTGAAGCGGAATGTGCGACCTTAACCACTCGGCCACGGGGCTGGCCTCCTCCGATGCTTTGTTTGTGTTTTTGGAGGGGAAGATTTGCCCTAAGCTAACATCTGCTAACCTCCCCCTGCCCACCAAAGCTCCAGTACATAATTGTGTATAGTTCTAAGTCCTTTTGGTTTTTCTATGTGAGCCACTGCCACAGCATGGCTACTGACAGACAAGCGGTGTAGTTCTGCACCCAACCAAATCCAGGTCACTGAAGCAGAGTGTGCTGAACTTTAACCACTAGGCCATAGGGCTGGCTCTCCACTGCTGTTCTTTTATAAACATCGTGGTACAGCTCTTGCAGCACACGTGAGGAATTTTCTAAGGTAAATCTAGGAATGGACCCGCTGGCTTGTCTGTTCAGAGCATCTGTAAATTTGTTAGCTGATACCCAGTTGTTCTACCATGTAAGGAGGGCCCATTCTCTGCATCCTTGGTATTAGAAGACCCATTTTTTTGGTCAGTTGATAGGCACAAATGGTAGCTCACTGTGATTTTAATTTGTGCATTTGAACATCTTTTTGTATTTAATGGTTTATACCATTTAGCCATTTTTCTTTTGGAAGGTAGTTTAATTTTTCAAATCTTTTGATCCATTTGCAAATGATTGGGTGTAAGAGATACAGCCATATTTTTCCCAAGATGACCACTGACGTAACGAACAACCCAACTTTTACCTACTAAGCCGCAACACCTTTCTCAAATTGTTTATTGAACGACTACAGCTTTATGTTCCAGAGGTTTGGTCTACTTCCTTGCTATTCTTCCTTCGTTAGAATCAGTCTGATTAAAATGCCTGTTGGATTTTCATGTATCATTAATACAGGCATTATTTATCATTCACATCAAGGTATCAGTTGCCCTGATTAAACTCTCCTAAGAACAAGATGTTCCCACTGACCCAACGTGACCCTTGCTTGCTGCTTTTTGTTCACTCCTAGGCATTCTCCCTTCTCTTGTCTGATGGCAGCGACCCTCCAGAACAGTGCTAACTAGTGGGCAGAGTGGACGGTGAGTGGAATTCTGGTGTTTCAATAGCTCTGCCTTATTTTTCATTATGTTGTAGTATCCGTAATTCCCCTAAGTCTTTTTCTTTAAATCAAGGATGGATGTTAAATTTTATCAAATATTTTTGCCATATCTAGAGTCAACAGGACTTGTATTTGTTATGAGGCTTATATAATCAACTTACAGAATCACCCAACTATCACTGCATCCCTGCTTCTTCTTTGTGATATAAGAACCATCTTTCTGAATTTAGAAAACAGAGAACTGCCCCCCAAACCCAGCCCTCTCAGATGAGCACTAAATAGCCATCAAGTGAATGATTCCAGTACCTGCTTCAGTTCTTTCCTGTATCTATTAACGACAGGAATGTAGAATTTTACATTTTGCATCTGAACAGTATTACAAGCATTTCTCCATTGCTGCAGTCTCTACACTGCTGACAACTTTTTAATCATCTTAATTACCTCTGAAAAACCCACTGATGACACTCAGCTTTCCTCACGCTTGAGGGTGGACAGTGGAGCCAGGGAAGGAGTATTTCATAGATCTTGTGTCACACCAGACCTTCTACCACCCTGCTCTCCTACCCAGAAAGTCAAGTCCAAGAACTTCTGTTTTTTTTAAAAAAATCATTCATTTATTTATTTGGTGAGGAAGATTGTCCCTGCGCTAACATCCATGTCAATCTTCCTCCACTTTGCACGCAGGCCGCACAGCATGGCTTGATGAGTGGTGTATAGGTCTGCGCCCAGGATCCGAACCCACAAATCCTAGGCCACCGAAGCAGAGTGCACAAATGCAACCAGCAGGCCACAGGGCTGGCCCCAGCTTCCTGTTTTTTAAATCCATATGAGGGGCACACTGCTCAGGGCACAGGCTGGGGCCCTCAGTGTACAGCACCCGCCCCCCCCCCCCCCCCCCGCACAACAGTAGACACACACTGGACTTATCGTAGAATAGATTTATTTACCTGAAACCATGTCTGTGCAATGCTTTTTGTTACCAGCACAGAAATAAACAACTGACGTCTATTTACAGTCTAAAGTCAAACATGCGTTGTGATAAGTTGACGTTTAGCATTTTATTAAGATAAATGCATCACAATATTTGTATTGCACCAACATCTGTCTACTGCTTCTGATTTCATTAAATAAGTTACATTTAATACAGTGCAAAATAGCTGTTTGCACACTCAGAAAAATAACTGAAGTTATGAACTGAAGGCCTACATTTTAACCATTTAACACCTGTAGTGTTTTCAATAAATTTATAAATAAGCAAACTGTACAGGGCCAATTAAAAAGTAGCATGTTTCAATGACACCACAGAGAAGTCTGGCTACTTACAACTGAAGGCATGCATTACAATTTAATATTGTACATTTATATAAACTATGACATTTTGTACAGAGAAATATGGAGCCTTGGCTGATGGCTTCTAAGTTCTTGGATAAGGTTTCAAAACCTCATTCTTCTTGCAGCAAAGAAACCAAAATTCTCTGGAGAGGCTTTCTGATTCATTAAGCTAAATTATACATTTATAATTATTATTTTGATTTAAAAGCTAAAAACCCCATTGGTAATATGCGTCTCCTCCACATAGCACACAATGAGTTGGGGACTTTTTTCTACTTTTCGTTTCCCCCAACATCAATCATGCAGAGGGCTGGCAGATGTGTTGCTAAAAACGTACATGCACGCAACCGAACACCCTTATATTTCTGCAAAATGGTTTAGGAAGCGGTTACTCCAGTATTGCTGAAAAGGAAAGAGACAGGAAATCAGCTTTATGAAATATGGGGAGGAAATGTCAGAATAACTATTTAAGACTAAGATTAATAGTGACAGATGAAAAGGAATGTTGTTTGATCTTTTAAGATTTTAAGACCAGGATTCCTGATTAACTGCCTCTGAGGAGTTGCCCACACAGGGGGCAGTGGCTCAGCAATACAGACCCTTCGTTGTCCGGCTACAGAGCAAAGGCTGCCCCTGGCTCACAGGAGCATCCCAGCAGGCAGACACTGGCCTGCTCCTGGCGTAACAGAAGTGAGATGGGCAAGAGGAGAAGTTCCTGGTTAGCAGTGCAGAGGGTAAGGAAGACGAAGCAGCAGTGAGTAGTGTAGCAATCAGCGCCAAGCCTCTAGCGCCCTGCTCCCTTCCCTGGCTATCAGCCTCTGGGCTGCAGGCAACCCCGCCAAGTCCTAGAAGGGGAACTGCTGCGCCTCAGCCGCTTCTCACCGCTCCCTCTCGATAAAGAAGGCTGGAGACAACCCTCACTGTTAACTGCAGGGCGGTGGTTCTGACAAAATTTGATGGTTCAATTAAAAATGTGTTGGATGCTGACTTAGCTCATGGCTACTGCAGACACAGCAGGCTCTGGCTCCAGGTAGTGGGCAGGTGCTTGGCAGACACTGAGCTAATGCCTGTGGTCACAGCTATTTCTGAGGTCTGCCCACCACACAGACATTTAGGGGGCTGAGGCCCCAGTTTGAGGGCAATGTGGTAGCAGCTGCTTGTGAGGGAGAGGCTGGCAGTTGCCTTGCGTGCCTGTGAGCTCATGTGGTTCTCCCAATAGGACGCATCACCTGCACTGTGCAGATGCAGGATGAGCTGCTGGAGTGGTACCCCAGTTAGGGGAGGTGGGAGACTGCCACCCTCCAGACCAAGCTCTGTCCAAGAGACTGGGTGAGGCATGGGGGACGGCAAAAAGCAGAATGCCGATGGGATGGGCCTTTGGCCCACCTGCCCATCGGGAAAGAACTTGGAGTGAGTTTCAGGTGACAGCTGCCTGACAGCACATGCATGGTGGGTCTGAGGGCGCCGCCGCCCCATCCTGTTACTGGTGGCAGCAAAAGCAGAGTCTGACAGTGCCCTCCTGCAGGTGCTGGGTGAGGATGGGGCTGGGTCCCTGCCGCTCACTGCATGATGGAGGCCCGAGGCCAGGGATGTGCCTGCAGTGGCACGAATGCTGAGGCGGCGCCAATTCGGACATGTTTTTCAGTGGCAGAGCCTGAGGCAGAGTGGACAAAGGGACTCTACTAGAGGCAGCAGTGGGTCTTCCTCACTCCCAGCTGTCTGGGCTGAGGGAAGTGGGCGCCCAAACCACCTCTGTGGGCTGGACGGGCCTGAAGATGACAAACGACAAGGCAACAGCCAGCCTGGGGCCATCTGGGGCTGTGCATGTCTCCTACTATAGTAGCCCACACCATTCCACTTATTTTGTACAGGCCACTAAATCAAAGAACTGAATCAGGAAAAGCTGACTATTTGGTTAGTTTGGTTGCCACTGAATAGCACAGCACCTAACAAGTTTAGACATCCTGTTTTGGTGTGCAGCCAAGACGCACTCCTTGCATTTGATCCACTCAACCCATTTCTTTTTGTGCCTCATGATACTAAAACTGACAAAACCTATCCCCCATTCTCTGCCAAGCAAACCAACCTCCCTTCCTCTGAGAGAGGCCTCGGTGAGCCAGGCCAGGACTCTGCATTTAGAGTCAGTCTCCATGTTTCACTGCCCTCCCTTTACACTCAAGACCTCTGAACTTGGCAGCACCTTGTCCTGCTTGAGACCCATTAACTTTCCCCCCAAATTCCAAGCATTTATATCACATCTTCTGGCTGGCCCAGTAAGCAGGGCCCAAATGCCTTCGCAAGAACACTCGGCCTCACAGGGAGGGAGCTGCCAGCCCACTGAATACAAGGAAGGAAGTGCCTAGGCCTCCTTCACCCTGGCTAATGACTAGGCTGGCTGTCTGCTGGCTGAGCAGAGCCATGTCCTCATAACTGTGCTTTCCTGTACCCTGGAGAGAGAAGACAAGCCTCAGCCGCAAAGGATATGACCCAGAACGTACAGAAAGGTGCCCTATTTAAGATGAACCTATGGGTGCATGAGTTCACTGGTTTGGTTACTTGCTTTCACTAGCTTTTTGCTTTTTAATGAACCAGGTAGCGAGATTCTGGGATGCGTTCTTGCAGCTAACAGATCAAAAGAACCACAGGAAGTTTTGTGACTCTTCATCTTGGCACTAGCGCGGGACAGCCCCTCAGCCTGTCAGTCTGACCAAAACAGAATGAGTTTCTCTTCCCTCAGGTCCTCCCTGACATCTGGCTGTGCCACTGTCCTGGCAGAGTGTGGAGTCTCCGGGTATCACACCCGGGGTCGGCTAACCTGGTCCATGTGTGTACAGGTTCCATGCATTGTGTGCCTGTTGCTCTCTGGGACAGTCACAGAAGACCGCAGTTTGTGACACAAGGGGCTTATTCCTTAGTGTCATACAGCTAACTCACTTGGTGGCAGTCACCTTTAGGCTAAAGCATCCAGATTCCAGGGAATACTCACGTTAGTTGATGGATGTTGGAAGGCATTGGAGGAAAACACCACAGTTAGGACTGTTAATGACTCATACACTGTCGGTAAGACTGATCTCGAACATGCGCAAACATTTATCATAGTAACAATGGTGGTGGTTAGTGCCACATTCAAATAAAAATAGTTCTATACAATATGTTCATTTGGTCATGTGCTATTTACAGATTTTACAAAACACACGCACATACAAACACACACGCTTGCCCCTTATGTTCTCTACACCAGGCTAAAACAGGCCAGCAGAAACTTGCACAAAATGTATCACAGACGACAATTACTGCCTATACATTAAAAAATAAAATTCCTACAACTACCTATGCAGCAGAACAGGATCCTTCTTCCCCTGAAGCAAAGTAAAACTAAAGTTCTGAGCTAACAAATTAAGAGAAAGTTGGACACATCCAATACAGAGTTCAAGCTAAGCCACTTAAGAGTTAAAAACAAGACAGTTATTGTTCTGTCCATTTAAAATGTTTTATTTTTCTTTTTAAACTAGATTGTGAAGTGCCACTGAAATAGGCGATGTTGGCAAAACAATGTCTGTTACAATAAAATACATTAGACATTTAAATAAATAACCTTAAAAACTATGTGAGGGGACATGAGCCCAGTCGATTGAATCTGGAACAATGTTTTCTGCACAAGCGAGAACAGGCATACCTCTTGTTAAGACTGATGTAAACAGAACCATCGAAACCCTACAGGAGCAGCAGCCGAGCAGGACCGGGGTGGGGGTGGGGGTGGGGGTGGGGGTGAGTGAGGGCCGAGGTGGGCGAGGGGAGTGGCAAACCAAAAAATACTGACTGAGGTAGCAGTACTCTGCTCAGTGCAGAAAAATTGGCTTATGAATAAAAATTAGACTGTGATCTCAGATTAAATCCAGATGATCATGCAAAAGACACAATACATGCTATTTAGTTTTAGAAAAAACCACACACATTCATTTCCTAAAATCTGCTGCCAATTAATTTGCTGACAATGTCTGCTGGCTCAACTATTTTTTTATACAAGGATGAGTATTAAACAGAACACTGTACATGCTTTTTTCATCTACAAAAAAATATTTGCATAAAATAGTGTTAGTTCTCTGTACATGTCAATGGACACTTTAATTATGTGTATAAAAAAGGAAAATCTTGCCCCACTGGAGTCAGAAAAAGCGAAACAAAATCTAGAGTATGAAACCTTCACCAGCCAATATGTTCATGTGAAAATTCAGCAGAAGTAGACAGTTGCTTTAAACAATAAAAAATTAATTGATTAAGTTAAACATCTTCTTTATGTAAAACTGTCAGTCAAGACCAAAACATGTCACTAAAGTTAGTGTCTGTGCTATAGACCCAGATCACCAGGGGCATTATGAGTAGCACAAACGGCCAGGAAATCCCATCGGTGCATGCCGAGAACGAGCAGGATTTGGTGGCAGGCTGCACACACTCTTTACCAGGTTCCAAGTAGTTGCGGGCCACAAACTTGAGCGTCTCATCCATTAGAATCACAGGCAAGGAGATTTTCAGCACCATCAGCCACTGGGTCAAATTCAGCGGTGTGATCTGGAAGATAAGCTGAAACACAAAGAAGCCTCGTCAAGCTCCCAGCCTTGCTGGAGAGGCAGCCAGGGCCCGGCCCAGGCCCCAACATCACTTACAGGCAAGGGTTCCACATAGAGGATTAAGAAGTGGAGCGACATGGACAGGCAGATGGAGCCCACAAGCCAGATATTCTCCCAAGGGGGCATCCTCAGCAGGGACTGGTTTTCAGACAAGCTGCAAAACAAGGAGAGGTACATGAAACATACCTGTGAAAAAGGCAAAGGCATATGTCACAAGTGAGACTGTTCAGAACTATGCTTCAATAAGGCAGCGGCTAACCTAGCATTGCCCACTGACCTAATTCTACTAATATTTCTACTGGGGCAAAGTTAAGGAAGAATGCTCAGATGTAGGACAAACTTCCCATTTTAAATTTAGGCTTTGGCACAGCAGATTTCATTTCACTGGGCCTTAAGCTGCTCTCAATTGCCTTTGACACTCAGGCTATTTTGAAATTTCCATTTTTGTCACTGGCTTAATTGGGTGATACCATTTGTCTCAATGCTAAAGGGCAAGAGTTCCTTCCCTGTGGGCACTGGCATACTAAAGTAGTGAAGTCCCTATTTTTGGCTTCCACTGTCTCTTAAGGAACGTGTGGCTAAGCACTCCCACTACTTCCTGGAGGTGGTGACGACGTAAGCTTTTAAAACCAGTGCTACTTGCTCTTTCTTTTTGGAAGGGAAGAGCTTTCCTGTGATCTTCAATCAACCATGACACACACAATCCCCCAGCACCCTGCTTGTCAGAGCTGTTGCCCCAGCCTGCCAAGAAGACTCACTGACCTGTTGAGGGCATTACACATCTCTATGGTTACTAGAACAGAGAGTGCCATTGTCATCGGGTACGGGGATTCAAAGACTGCACAATCCACTCCTTCAAAGTCTGGGTTGTCCTCTTTACACTGTAGGAAATGACTCTGCAATAAAAGCCCAGTCAAGTTCCTGATCAGCCAAGTACATTTCCAAAGACGGCACAACAATTCCACATGAAGCCCACACACACAAGATCTCACCCCATTTCCCAGAGAAGCCCTGATCCTTCAGAATAATCTTAAATGCAACTGCTTATTGTTCAAGCCTTAAGATTATCTGACAAACACAACCCTCAAACCACAGAAAGCTCAAGGACAACCTTGTTTGTGAGGGCTTACAATGCTTTGCCTCTAAGGTACAGAAAGAAAGGTGGCTACATACCAGCTGGTAGAAGGACACTCTTGGACCACCGTCAGCAGCAATGAACCACCATGCAGCAGCACCCACAGTAGCAGCGCCGACGTAACCTGGAACAGACATGCCGACGCTGATGCACGTGGGGCTGGCAGCCTACAGCGTCCACTGCAGGTGCTGCCTTGTGGGCCAATCCCCAGGACAGAGATGAAAGACACGGTGTGTTGGGAGAAACTGGAGCCTGTGCTGCCACTAGCAACTGCTCCCTCGCATCAGCCAAAGCAGCCAGATGGAGGGTCTCTGCAAGGGAGAGGGGGTGTCTGTGGTACAGAAGAACCGGGGAACTTTTCCTCCAAAATTTGTGAGAAAAAGTACCTACTGGAATTGGTCGGACCTTTATACTAGCCATGCCCTTCTCTAACCAGCAGCCAGTACATTAAGGCTGCAGGTATGTGTCCTCCACATAAGGCCATGCTGTGCTGGAGGAGCAGATCACACCATCCATAATTTTTAGGTACACTGATGCTACCAGTTATATGCTAATTTATTTGACCCATCAAAGCCCTGGCAGAACCTTTATATGAAAACACCATTAGAGCAGTTAGTACAGAACAGGGAGCAACATGGCAATGCCTGAAGCTGATTATGGGCACCCCCCCAACCAGTGTCTGTGAATCCATCAAGTTTATTACAAAGAAGCAACAAGGGGTAGTGGAGAACACACGACTTGAGAATAAGAATGGCCCAATGTGGTAGCCTCCACCAGAAAACACAAGCACACACACCCCCTCACCCAGCAATGACAACGGAGCAGTAGGCAGCTGGTGCACAGGGAGGAGGCAGCTGTACATGTGCTCACATGGAATCACCCAACAAATAGGGAGAAATACAAAGATGGGGTTGAGCACACAGGTGTGTATAGCAGCCGTCGCTTGCGAGAGTACACACAAACTCTACGAGCTAGAGTATCTCTGGAAGGGCACATGAGAAACAGTTAACGCTGAGGGGAGCTGACTGGCTAAGGGCCTTCCTACTTTATGCCATAGTGTGCTTTTTGAATTTGAAGTCATGTGAATGTCTTAAAACCTTCCTGTGGTTCCCTAGGAACGTCGTTTAACCTCTCTGGGCCTCACTTTCCTAATCTGTGACATGGGGAAGAGAAGCGGCACGGGAAGATGAGGTCCACGGAGATGACGTATGGAGAAGAACCTGACCTGTGGCAGGGCCTCCACGCATTTATCAACAATTGCCGATAAACACACAAAATCCCGTCTCTCACTTAGGGAAAGGGGGACTAAGTTTTATATTCTGTTGATATTATATCACCTGAGATGCCCCTGTAACCCCTATGCCCACAGGTTAAACCTGAGAGCCTCACTCACAAATGCCCAAGGATAAGGACTAACTTCACTGTAAACTGGGTATACACTTCATTAAATTGCAAGAAGGCAGCCTCCATTTTTTGCTACCCTAACAGGAGAATAGAAGAATGTGCTTTTTAGGGATGATTTTACAAAATTTGGGCTCACAAAGTTTTGTTTAAAAATTGACAATATAACAAACTGTACTCACAGCCAATAGCCAGGTAACGGAAAAAGAGCCACCCACTGATCAGTGGTTCCTTCGGGTTCCGGGGTGGTTTGTTCATGATGTCTAGATCGGGAGGGTTGAACCCCAGCGCCGTGGCAGGCAGGCCATCTGTCACCAGATTGACCCAGAGCAGCTGGACAGGAATTAAAGCCTCAGGAAATCCAAGGGCTGCTGTCAGGAAAATACTGTTTCCACCCAAGGAAAGAGAAAGACCCCAATTATTTTTGACCACTATTTAAATAGGACCACCACCCTCTCCTCCTCCATAAAAATCAATGGACAGCAATGATTGCTTGAAATAAGTTTTTTTGGGCAATCATAAAACATCTATTATAACCAATTTCAAATTAAAGTTAACTTTGAGAAGGTCAAGAATTTTGCTCCTTTATGTAGTTACTCATCTCTTTGTTAAAGGGCGTCCTTTGTACTCTGGGGCAGCTGCAGACAGCCCTCCTGAAGGCCGGAAGTACCCCTACCTTCTCAAGGGCTTTTTTTTTTTTTTTGAGGAAGATTAGCCCTGAGCTAACTGCTGCCAATCCTCCTCTTTTTGCTGAGGAAGACTGGCCCTGAGTTAACATTCATGCCCATCTTCCTCTACTTTATATGTGGGACGCCTGCCACATCACGGCTTGCCAAGCGGTGCCATGTCTGCACCCGGGATCCGAACTGGCAAACCCTGGGCCGCTGAAGTGGAACGTGCGCACCCAACTGCTGCGCCATTGGGCTGCACGAGGGCTTCCTTTGTCTTGCCCGACCCTCCCTCCCAACTCGTGCACAAAGACCAACGCTGCTACCATATGAAGAGCAAACGTGGAAAACTGGTCATGACAAGCCCTGATTTTTCGATAGAGGAGCACGAGGGGTCTGTCACAGGGACGCACCAGACCACCTCGCCCACGTTGGAGGAGATGAGGTAGCGGATGAACTGCTTCATGTTGTTGTAGATGGCCCGGCCCTCCTCCACCGCAGCCACGATGGTGGAGAAGTTGTCGTCGGCCAGCACCATCTCGGAGGCGGTTTTAGCCACTGCAGTGCCAGAGCCCATGGCAATGCCGATCTCGGATTTCTTCAGGGCAGGAGCATCATTCACACCATCCCCAGTCTGAAAGGGAACCCGAAGCCTGGTTTACACACACGTGACCACTAACACACACATCCCGGACAAAGGCTCGGCCATCTTGAAGCAAGGGAAATGAATGGAACCAATGAGATCAATGGGGCCCTGGGCAGAAGAGTTAGAGGAGAAATTTTGTTTTTATAAGTTGGTGGCACAAAGCACATTTTACCTGGGAAATGTAAAATTGTCAATAAGCTTACCAAAGAGACTTCAGAGGGAAGTAGAACCAAGGGACTTCAAATTCATTTGTATTACTTTTTATAAAACAAAAAACCTATATGGCAGTCAAGATGAAGTACTTGTGTCCACGTGGATAACCCTCAAGTAGAACAGGTACAGACTGCAAAAATATGTAAACTACAATACGCCATTTATAAACGTCAAAAATATGCAAAAATACTAAATATTCTGTATAGATAGTGAACTATCACTCCCATGTATGTTTTTTATATTTTTACTCAACACCCCACATCAAATTCAGAATGGTGGTTCCCTCTGGGAAGAGAAGGGAAGGGAGAGGAAGGAGGAAGGGAGGAGGAGACCTGTAATACCTGGTTTCAAACAACAAAATTCAATTTTTTTAAAGTAAAGTTTTATAGACAAGTAAGAGAAAGGAAGTATAACACAATGTTAACGTGTGTGGGTGAAAAATCACGTGAGGGGAAGAATACCGAAAAGGCTCCATCAACAGGCAGCTCTTACACAGTGCTTTACCAGTACATCTAATTTCAGGTAGGGGTATCCAAAGATGGGGTGGCAGAGTGCAAATTAGTTATATCTTAAATCAGTGTTTATAAAACTTGAGATACAAACATGCATACTTTAACCAAGACAAAGACTAGACACCACCAAATATTTCTCCTGTAACTGATTCAGAAGGCACTTCTAGATCTTAAACTACTCTAGAATCTCCACTGCATGCAACATCCAGCATGCGAACTACTGGCCAACAGAATCCTAGAGAAATAGCTCAAATCATGACAAAAATCTAGAAATTCCAAACTTGGGAGCTATGACCACAAATTTAATGGTCAAATTTAGCATCTGCTGTGTGTGTGTAGTGTGAGTCACCTGTACATGTCCAAAGACACTCACCATAGCTGTAATCTCATCAAAAGACTGAAGAAACTCTACAATTTTAGACTTGTGGGAAGGTTCAACTCGAGCAAAACAGCGGGCATTCAAGCAGGCATCTCTCTGGGCTGAAGGACTGAGCTCATCAAACTCCCGACCTGTAAAAGCCTTTGACGTCACATCCTCGTCCTGCCTGAAGATGCCAATGCGGCGACAGATGGCCACAGCGGTGCCCTTGTTGTCCCCCGTGATCATGATGACCCGGATGCCTGCTTGCCGGCACAGCTTCACAGAAGAGGCCACTTCAATTCTTGGAGGGTCCAGCATGCCCACACAGCCAACGAAAGTCAGATTGGTCTACAAAAAAAGAATCACCTTCTGTTCAAACAGGAAATTCTGGTTTTTCCCCTGGTGTGGAACAAGGGCGAGGTTATACATTGAGAACAAAGGTTTCTGCATTTTCTTATGCTAAATTCTCTAACTTTGACTCTTATCTAAGATTAACATTCACACTACTGATATAAATCCAATCAAGAATAGTATTAATTCTAATTAATCAGAAACGATTAAAAACATCACTACATTCTATTACCAAATCATTTTCATGAGGAATAAGAGCATTTTGATATTGGCCACCTTAGTTCCTTTCATTCAGCACTTCAGGAAGTTACGTACCTGATATGAAAGAATTCTATGAGCAGAAAAGTAGAAGGAGGCTCTCAACTTGGATATTTTGACCTTCAATAACTAATGAACATTTTAAAAATGTTCCCAAATTTTAAAATATCTTAATAGGTTTTACAGTTTAACTCAATTGTAAAACCTATTGATTAATCTACTTTGAGGGTAACAGATTTGTATTAAATTGTTAACGATATATGTTTGAAGCAGCAACCTAAATTATAAAGGTAATGCCATCCGGCTTGCAGAAAAACAAATAACCTCACCTCTTCCTTGGCAAAAGCAAGACTTATTTGACCTTTTACTGAAGGAGTGCTGTTTAAACACAATGAACGTGCAGGATGTGGGTAAATAAACTTTTCATTAGCTAACCTCATATTTAATAAAGTTGGCAGAGTCCTCCAGGTTCATTTCTTCTCTTCTCAGTGGGTTGTCATGAGTGGCCAGAGCCAGGCATCGCAGTGTGTCGCTGCCACTCCCCCATTCCCGAATAACAGACATGATCTTCTGTTTGACTCCAGGGATCATAGGAACTTTAGTACTTCCAACTCGAATGTGGGTGCACCTATCGATGACACCTTCGGGAGCACCCTGAAAACGTTACAGATTTAGACCAATAATTGTATTTACTGGCTCACCCAGGGTCCTAATCCTGGTAAGAACATCTCAAAGGCAATTTGCTGTACTCACCTTCACAAACATTTTGCTCATCGATGTCCGGCTCGGTTTGTTTGGTGTACAATAAACTGACATTGATTTTCTATCACGTGAAAACTCTAGAGTAAATTCTTTTTTCATTAACTGTTTAATGACCTATAAAGAAAACATAAATGGAACACTATTGGACAACAATTTCTGTAAACTTTTCACTTGTTCAACAAATAGTCACTAAGCACCTGTTACGTAATGGGCACTGGGGACACAGCAACGGACAATGAACAAAACAAGTCCTCGCCCTCAGGAAACCTGCCCTCTAGTTTGGAAAAGATAGACGAGAATGTAGAAGTAGATTATAATAAGGGCTATGGAGAAAAAACAGTCTTAAGTAAGGCAGGGAAGGGGGATGGAAAATTTGTGTATGAAAAGATTGCAGTTTTACATAAAGTGGTCAGAAAAAGAGAACACTTGAGTAAAACATGAAGGATGTGGGAGTGTGAGCAGAGAGAAGTGCAGGCTGGTGTGACGTGGCAGGTGTCAAGGAGCCTCCAGGCTGGAACAAAGTTTGCAAGAGAGAGAGGTGAGAGGTCTAATGGCAGGGGTGGCATAGTGGCTTTTATAACAAGTGAGAAGGGGAAGAAGACAGTGGAAGATTTCAAGCTCTGGCAGTTGTGTTAAGAATCAGCTGAAGGAGGGCAAGAACACCACTGAATACAAATAATCCAAGAGATGATGGTGACTTGGGCCAGGGCAACAGCCCTGGAGGTGGACTGAAGTGGTCCAGAGCACTGCTGCCTCAAAGAAGTTTCTACAGTGACGGAAATGTTGTCAGTGCTCTTCAGGCATCGGTCGTCTGTGGCTAGTAAGCATCTGAATGAAGTGGGGCTAGTCCACTCGAGGAACTGTTATTTTAAGTAAATAGCTTTAGGTGCCTAATGGCTACTGTATTAGGCTTTAGCACATTGACATGCTTAAAATCATGAGACCAGAAGAGGTCATGAGAGTACCTGCAGACAGAAAAGTTCAAGGACTGGCCCCTGGGGCCTTCCTACCCCTGGTGGGATGTGGAAGATCCAGCCAGAGACAGCGGAGGGTCAGGGAGGGAAAGAGAATGAGTGAAGCAATGTGCCAAGGAGGGAGACTGACAGGATCAACTGACAGCTCAGGTAAAACAAGGACTGAGATTTAACTTTTAGATTTAGATTCTGCTGGATTGTCTGTGTATATACAATGTTACCTACAAAATATACTCTATCCTTCTCTATTTTTATATTTTTGATTTCTTTTTCTCCCCTAGTGCATGGACTAGGACTGTCAGCACAACACTGAGTAGAAATGGTAAGTGGAAATTCTTGTGCTGCCATATATTAACAGAGGCTTTGTGTAAACATACCATTAGCTTGAAGACAAGTTTGCTGAGTTTTTATCATAACAGAGATTAAATTTTATCAGATGCCTTTTCTGCATCTACTTAAATGATCTTATGGCTGCCTTTATTCAATTATGTGAATTACACTCATTTTTTGCCCCCTATTCAGACACACATATAATGATAATTGTAGAAATCCCAAAGAACCCCAGCATCCAATGTGGGCAGTTATGAGTGGACTGAAGTTTGTGGGTTTGCTCAGCCAGGCTGGGTGTACTATATAGCTGTCCTCTCAGCCAGAGCTGCCGTACTTAAGCGGCAAAAGGACAATCACCATTAATTCTGCGTTATCTGACTCAGGTTTTTCTTACATGTTTAGTTTCCATTAAGCATTTGTACCAATGGCTCTAGCAGACTGAAGGAACGTGTAGTGTTTCTGAGTAAGGTGTGGACCTAGGCACCAGATATATCCTAGGGGGAGAAAAGAACAAAGCCGTGTATTCCACTCTCAGGACAGTCAAGAGCGGTAGTCCTATCTAAACAGGACTTGAGGCCTTACAAGGCTGAGTCCTGGGGCCAGTCCGGTGGCATAACAGTTAAGTTCAGGGGCTCCGCTGTTTTGGATCCTGGGCATGGATCTATGCATCATACCTCAAGCCACGCTGTGGTAGGTGTCCCACATATACGAGAGAGGAAGATGGGCACAGATGTTAGCTCAGGGCCAATCTTCCTCAGCAAAAAGAGGAGGACCGATGGTGGATATAAACTCAGGGCTAATCTTCCTCAGGAAAAACAAAACAAAAAGCCCTGGGTCCTGCCCTCTGTCTCTGAACTATGAAAAGTTCTTGCTTTCTAGGGGGTGGAGGGTTGGCATGAGTCCTTATCTGAGAATTTTCAGTGAATGAGCATCGTGACAGTCATTTCTGATCCTTTTGCTCAGCTGTTGTGGCAAAGGCAGCCATGGAACAAGAAAATGCTTAGTCTGCAGACAAGAGAACAATCTATCCTAATTTGTGGTCATCACTACAGTTAACGCACCCCTTTTAAACTCCATAGTGCTACCTGTCTCCCTCTATTGAGTAGTTACAGGTCTAGAATCAAACAATTCTAAACCTCAGTCTCTGTGAAGCTGAGTCTTCAAGTTGCCTCTGAAGGATTTTGTCACACCAACGAACAATAGAGCTGTCAGACAAGGTGGCTTTGCGAGGGTCGGCCTCTGACTTACCGACAATAGGGGAGTGAGGGCTCTAAAATGGAGACAAGGGGCGTGGACTTCTGTTTTAGGAAAGCTGCTAAGTCGGGGCAGGATGCCACGGGAGCTGCCCAAGACCCTCGTGGCTATGAGATTGCTAGTTGTGTAGCATGAACTGGTCTACTGTGAAAGATTCTATACTTCAGCTGAGACATCCTCCATTCTGGTGTGAGTTTTTGTTTTCTCAGGACAACGTACAGGAGGCAAAACAAGGTGAAGGAAAGAGTACTGGGGCAGGCATCTGGCTCTGCCTTATACCAACACTGTACCCAAGCCATTGAAAGCCTCAGTTTCCCTGCCTGTGTCAGACTGGACTGGATAGTCCTGAAATCCCTTTCACAGCCTGAGATTTGGTGTGGTCACTAAAAAGTTTATATAGCTAAAGTCCTTAAGAAAATAGATGTGCTCTCCCCAACCTTAGGGTGGATGTGACAAGTGTGATGCTACCCTCCTCCCCAGTACCACACTGCCTCTTAATCTGCCATGGTTTCCCAGGGAAGGATGAAAGAAAGGGTCTGTGACACATAAAAGCCTAAATGTAGTGATAGCTAACCATCTAGTACACATGAGCCTTGCTTTTGCAATAACTAGAAAAGGCTATATATGTATATTTTGAAGAAGATTAGCCCTGAGCTAACACCTGCTGCCAATCCATTTTGCTGAGGAAGACGGGCCCTGAGCTAACATCCGTGCCCATCTTCCTCTACTTTATATGTGGGACGCCTACCACAGCATGGCTTGACAAGCGGTACGTACATCTGCACCCAGGATCCACACCGGTAAACCCCAGACTACCAAAGTGGAGTGTGAACCTAACGCTACACCACTGGGGCAGCCCCTAGAAAAGGCTGTATTTCTACCTCCCATTTCTCCTTATTCCACCAGAAAACCCTAACTGAGAACAAAGAAGTGCTATAAAGAGGTACCTCCAGTACCAACTGGCAGCCATTTGGTGATGACAGGTAGGTCTGACACTAGAAGAGGTTATGTGCAGCAGAACTCAATTCTGTAGGCATCTAAGCTCTAAGGCTCTGAGGCAGGAGGTTCTGGGAATTGGTCTGGAAGACCCACTTTAGGTTCTTATAGCTGTGTAGACCCTGGACTACATGAAGATGGTATGGTGTTCACCATGTGCAGAGGGGCTGGTGTGTTTCTGGGGTGGTGGCTTGGGAGTGGGTGGGACCAGACAGACTTTGGGGTCTGACTTTTTTCTGACATCTCTTCTCCTCCTGCTTGGCTGCTGTGAGGACAATCAGTCTCTTAATGCACCTTCTCTGGCTTCAGTGGTTCCCATTCTTGAGCTTCCTTAGCTTGCCTCTTGGCCTCATGCTTCTTCTCTACCCCTCGTTCTACTTCCACTTGCTGCTGCCTGTCACTCCTGACCTTCATGTACTGTAACATCTTGTTTGCAGGCTGCTTACACTGCTTCTCATCCAAGCACTCACTCACCACACTCTGGCCAGGACAAAGGAGGTTATCACTAAGGTCCGTTCAACCAGCATCACCACGACCAAAAACAAGCTGGTCAGCAGTGAGCTGGACCTGAGCTCAGCAGCCTGAAGGAGGTCCCTGTCAAGGAGCTGCTGCCCTCCCAGGTCACTATGATGCATCTGTCTTGTAATAAAATGCTACTGGATTGTGTGGCCTCACATGTGTGGGGAATCTAGACCAGAGTTAAGACAATCTGCAACAGCTGCTGGCAGACACTGGCCATCTGCTCAGCCTTCAGCACCTGGATCTCTTCAACAGACTAGTCCATCCTTTCCTGCCTGCCTCTTTGCTCAGCCCAGGAATCAAAGGCTCTGACAGGCAGAGGGAAAGGACTGAGGGGCCACGCATTTGTCCAGTGTTCTCACACCTAACAGACACACCTGCACTGCCACCACACTGACTGACCTTTGTTAAGCTAGCCTTGTAGTCATGGCAATTCTGCTTGTTATATTACTATATATACTTTTAATATATTACTAGACTTGATTTGCTAATATGTTGGGAATCTTTACATCTCTATTATGAAGGATATTAGTTTGTAACTTCCTTTTCTTGTCACATCCACATCAGGTTTTGGTATTAGGGTTATGCAGGCCTCATCAAATGAATTGAGAAGGGTTTCATTTTACACTTTCTTGTAGACTGTGTAAAACAGATATTTCTTAAATCTTTGTAGTCTGTGTAAAACTGGAATTTATTTCTTAAAGTGTTTGGCAGAATTGGGCCTGGTAAATTTTTGTGGGGGTAGATTTTTAATTACAGATTCAATTAATTTGATATAGGATTATTCCATTTTTCTTGAGTCAGTTTAGAAAGTCGTGCGACTGAAAGGATTTGTCAGTTTCTTCTAGGTTGTCTAATTTATTGGTATAAAATAGTTCATGAGAGGTTTCTGATCTTGCCTATTATTTCCCTTCTACTTGTATTTAATGTGCTGGTTTTCTGTTTTCTTCAGATGGAAGCTTTTATCATTGATTTTTAACATTCTTTTATAGTATGTGCACTTACAGCTATACATTTTCCTTGAAATGATGCTTTTAGCTACATCCTCCAATTGTCATATGGTTGTGTTTTCAATATTGTTTAGTTCAAAATATTTTCTAATTTCCACTGTGGTTTCTTCTTTCACCCATGGATTACTTAAGAGTGTTAACTTCAAAATATTTGGGGAATTTGCTAGTTATCTTTTTGTTATCAATTTCTAGTTTAATTCTTTTGTGACGGTTATACAGCAACTCTCTGTATGATTTCAACCCTTTGTACTTCTGCTGAGTCTTGCTTCATGGATCAGCAATACAGTCTATTCTGGTGAACATTCCTTATACAGCTGAAAAGCATATTAGAAGGAACATAATAGAAATAAGGATTAGGTTGAGTGTATTTATAGCATCGCGCAAATCTTCCATATCCTTACTGATTTTCTTTCATCTGCTTGTTCTATCAGTTGAAATAGGTTATGTTAATCTCTAACTCCCATTGTGGATTTCTCTATTTTTCCTTTTATTACTGTCAATTTTTGCTTCATGTATTTTAAATGTGCTATTAGGTATATACACATAAATCACTTGACTTTATATTTAGCACAAGGTTATGGGGAACTTTGACAAGAGGTTTTGACAGACTGAAGAGTCAAAAGCTTCACTAGAATGAATTCAAGAGAATGGGAGGTATGAAACAAGAGAATACATAAAAACAGCCCTTTTGAGAAGTTTACCGTAAAAGAAAAGTAGTAAGGGACTGAAGTGGGAAGTAGAATCAAAACCAAGTTTTAAGAGGAACGTATTCTTATTTCTCCTATGCTGATGAAGAAGATCCAATACAGAGGGAAAATGGAGGGTGCAGGAGAGAGGTGCTGGGGGCTCACTGCACAAGGAGCAGCTGGTTTTCATCATTTTACCTGAGTGTGACTATGGGGAGGAGATATTACGAGTCTGAGAAGATAAGGTATAAACTTAGTTGTCTAAGATAGTAGGAGAGTGAATGGACTACGGATGTTTGGTATGAGTGATGGGCAGCATGAACAATACACCAAGCTCAAATACTGACCGAGTTGCAGGCATTTGCTCGTTCTATTTTAGAAAGACCTTTCAATTCGGTATCAAATACATTCATCTTCTCTACCAGGCAAGTGAGAGCCGTCTCTGTAGCTTCTCCAACTTTTTCATATACACCCTTTGCCTGTATTGGTTAAAGGCACAGAAAGTGCAAAAAGGGAAAAGTAGTAAACAAGTAAGTTTTTTCTTAATGCAGACTTTTTTCCATAGGAGGACAACCTGTCTTCTGTTGCATGATGATTCTGTGGGCCATTTTTATCCTATTCTGGAGCACAGGATCCAGATAATTAAAAATATACTCGAAGCACAGGTGTTCAATTTTATCTTATTCTAATAATAGGTTTTTCATTTCCCTTAACTACAAGAAGCAGTATTAATTCAAACAGAGCTTTCAAATAGTATTTGTAATTCCATGTCATTACTTATTCTACAGAATTTACATTCTGTTTCTGATGGGGACTAGCTTGCCTTTTAAATAGAAACCAAAGGGGTTATCTATTTATAATTATAAAGGGAATAAAAAAGGCTTTCTACTGGTTAAATTTTATATTAGTATTTTACCACCATCATCATCAAAACAACCCTCTGAGCCTCAGCGTGTCCTCAAGGATATCTTATAAAGCAAGTTCGATACCCTATACACTTCCAGGAGAACATTTTCTATCCTGGATTTTATTCATTTATAGTAACCAAACTATAAATAGCTGAGAACATGATGTATACTACAATTCTTAGTTAAGTAGCTGCAATGCTCAAAGAGGGTATATGAAAAGCTCTCAGCTTTCTTTGGCTAGGTCATGTTGACTCTGATTGAGATAGGCTCTTGAATGGAAAGGGGAAATAAAATCAGGAACCCTTACTTTCAAAAGGGAGGAAGGAAGGCTGGATTTTCATTCCACCCACCCCACCCTTGAACGAGGAACAGCCAGGTCTAGTTTCTCATTTATGAGGAGTCTTACCTCATTGTAATCCAAAGCAGAGTCATTACAAAGAGCACAAATTGTTGCCAATTCTACAAGACCATCATATTGATGACATTTCACTGGTTTATCATCTTTATGCCTATCGAAAGAAAAAACACTCAGAACACAGTGTGGCCATCTCTAGTGATTTTTACTTAATTATTTAATAACATAAATAGAATCTGTGGACAAGAGACTGGCACGTATTCAAAAAAACTGAGGATGGCTCTTAGAAATCTGATGCTGGAGACAGGAAAGTGTGTCTCTGATATCAGGAATCAATGGGTAAAGATTAGAAATTCTTAGTTCATGAAATTCCTCCACCACTGGTATCAAAAAAGAGCAAACAGAAACCTTACTTCAAAACGTAGGCTTCAAAAGAGAGCTAAATAAAGATGAAAAAGGTCATTGGCTTATGACCTGTGTTCTAAGTGTGTATTACATTTGTTTTTAAAAAAATTTACTATGCCAGTAACTGATGACATGAGCTACAGTTGGAAAACTGCCTCAACTTTTTTAGATACACTGCAAATCTATACAAGTACCAAACGGCCACAATGGATCCTTTAAATGATAAGGAGGGTTTACTCACACTTCTCCAATAGGTGCATATGTTGATCCAGTTATGGTAAACTCGTTAAGGGAACAAGTATCACCTTCAACTTTGTCCAGAATGAACATCTACAGAAACAAAAAAAAAGCTGAAGTCTTTACAAGGTATAATAAATATGCTAGAAAAAATAATCTTTCCTAAGACAAAAAAAGCTTTTCTCATTTAAGAAAAGTTTTAATGAAACTTATTAATTGAAGCTCAGCATGAGTAGTATTGTGCCTTATTCCAACTAGATACTATTTAATACTGCCTCTCCCATCCATCTAACCATCTGAGAAACAGCACCACTGAGGTGCTGAATAAATAGTAAGCAGCAGTGGCCCCAAAGACACAGAAGACCCCCCCCCATGAAACCTGACTTACGAGGACTCTGGGTCAGTCAATTCCAAAGACTCAGCAGTACTCTTTAGAATGCTCAGAATTCCAAATTTCAAATGGCTGGCTGAGAAAGTGATATTAGGGAGTCCTGCCTTAGACTAAGAGTACAAGCTGGGAAGAATAAACTCACATTTCAGAGTTGCATAAACAGTCCCTGAGTAAAATAAGACAGATTGCTTCTCTGCTCCTTCCCACTTATTTTTATGGTGGCAATAGCTCATTTTCTATGAAGCTGCATAACTACACGTATACAGTAAGGAGCCCACAGAGCTGAATGACCTGATGTTACCAAGACAATACCGATGGAAGCATGCTTAGGAAAGAATTCTAAATTTTATAGAATAATAAAGTGACATGAATTAAGTTTCTTAAAGATGAGGTTTTTTCTTGGTTTGCTTTCCAATTATAATTCAGAAGCCCAGTTTGGAAGACTGAGATTTAGCTTTGTGTTTTCATTGCAAATTGAAACTGTAAAACCTTCTCTTAAAACAAAAGATACAAAAACAGGCAAAGTGATACTTCAACTACACTTTATCATACCAAGATCTCTCTGAAATATGAGCAATTAAGAATATGATCAAACCATTCTACAATAAGGAATTTTAAAAGTGTTAAACTCAAGTTAAAAAGAGCCATGTAATGCTTTAAAAACATCTTTTCAGAGCATTCCAACTCATATTCAATAAGAAAATCAGCTCGCCTTCATTTTAAAATAACTTTCTTTGCCTCACAAGATTTGCTTGTTATATAGCATATACTTTTAAATTCCAAAAGCTTCATTCCATACTTTTGGAGTGCCAGAACTAAATCAACCAACCTTGGAACCGAACTAAAGCTATAAGACATACAAAACTTTTTTAAAAAATAAAAATATATAATGGGATTTAAAAACTGTAATGACTCCTGATAAAAGGCTCTAATTCAAACACATACAACCACTGTGTCAAATGAGGAAAAAGATCCATGTCCAAGGTCACATGCCGCAAGATCACGTACTCCTACAATTTTTTTTCTAACAGATACAACACCTAAAAAAGGGAAGCTTGTCAAAGGGCTCTTTCCAAAGATGTTTGACATTTTATAGAAGAGGAAATAAAGGGCCAGAGAAGTTAAAGGATGTGCTCAAAGTTACACAATTATTAAGTGGAAGAGATAGGACCAGGTTTAACTACCAATCTTTCCTATAAGAAAACAGAACTTTACTAAGTTCTGTGACCTTCAGTCACTTAACTTCTCAGAGCCTTAGTTTTCTAACCTCTTGAGCAGGATTACCATATGATCCAGATAAAGTCACATGTGAAAAACAAATTAAGTGCACTAGGCGTAGCAAAGCAAGTTGGCATTATCATTGCTACACATCATGCCACTTCTTTAATGATACTGTTTATAAAAAGTGAAACTCTTTACGTCTATACCAGAGTCCAAAATACTGTGAGATATTCAGAATTCTAACCCACATTAACTAAATCTGAATGCACTTGGGCATTTTAGATTTCAAGCAAGTAGAACATTTCGGAGCTGCATGATGAAAGTACCCCTAAGTTAAGGGCAGTTATGCAATCCTCTGCAAGAAGCCTCCTGTAGGAGACTGATTAGCATCAGCTTTCTGCCGCTGAGGCAGAACAGAACAAAGAGCCAGGCTGTTTAATAGAAGAAAACATTTTAAATCAAACCAGTTTTTTCTTCTTTTTTACGATTGGCACCTGAGTTAACATCTGTTGCCAATCTTCTTTTTTTTCCTTCTTCTCCCCAAAGCCCCCCAGTACATAGTTGTGTATTCTAGTTGTGGGTGGCTCTGGTTGTGCTACGTGGGACATCACCTCAGCGCAGCCTGACGAGTGGTGCCACATCCGAGCCCGGGATCCGAACCAGCAAAACCTGGGCTGCTGAAGAGGAGTGCATGAACTTAACCACCCAGCCTCGGGGCCAGCATCCCAAAAAATTGTTTATTATTATGGACTCCGTTTTCTTCTTAGTTTGATCTCTGATTTGCTGCCACAACTTTGAAATTAAAAATTTTTATTTTTTTAATTTTTATCTATTTTTTAAGATTTTATTTTTTCCTTTTTCTCCCAAATCCCCCCAGTACGTAGTTGTATATTTCAGTTGTGGGTCCTTCTAGTTGTGGGATGTGGGATGCTGCCTCAGCATGGCTTGTTGAATGGTGCCATGTCCGCGCCCAGGATTCAAACTGGTGAAACCCTGGGCCACCAAAGCAGTGCGTGAACTTAACCACTTGGCCATGGGGCCAGGCCCGAAATTAAAAAAATTTTTAAAGATTACAGTTTAACACACTGCCTACTTTCATGGATATAACGACTATTCTGAGGAATTAAAGCTTTCAGAAAGTTTAAACACTTTCCGGGGGCGGAGGTGGGGAACCAAACAGGAAACATGAAATTCCCTTCTCCCCAAAACAATCAGCTTTTAGCTGATTCATCCAACCTTTTCTGGTTCCAAGGAATGAGAACATAGGTAGCTCAGTCGAACCCTGCATCTACTGGAGAAACCCAAGACAAACTAGAAGCTTACCCACTGGAGAGACAGAACACCCCAATCTGTTTTAAACATCTCTTCATTCATCTTAAATCTGGGTTTGCACTACACAAAGAGTTGAGGGTATGTAGATCTAAAACCATCATCACAGATTTAAATTTGGCAAGATAAAGATTCAGAGGGTTTAATTCTATTAAAACAAAAACAATTTCTAATGCTAAAAAACATTATCCAAAACCTGGAGACGATGACTCCACGTCCTTTCAATGTCATTCAGAAGCATTACGTAACAGGCCCACTCAAAGATTTAGTACTCTAGAAAAATGTAACATTGTTTCACTGTGCTATTTATTATTAATTAAGGGCTCATGTTATGTGAAGCTGTGGATTTGTGTCCTGTAGAAAAGACAACCTGTAGTACTTCCCTAAAGGATATTAACCAGTTTTGGTCATCTAACATACAGCAATTCTCTTCTAAGACTGAGTACTTCCTCAAATGCTTTTGTAATCAGTTTTACCATCTTACTGATTTCCTCATTAATTAATGAACCAAACAGACTCTTTGACATGTGTCCACTCAGGTTGCATGAGTCGTCTACCTTTTGGAAAATTATACTTTGACCTATACAAAGTTGTTTAAATAAAACCTAGGGAAATTGAATTATATGGAAGAACTTCACTCAGCTGTATATCATTATATTATTTCTTTAGTTCTTACTTTTCTAAGGGCAGGTTTAAACAGTTCCTTTTCTACCCCCAAGTGATGGTCAAAACAACCTAAGGAAGGATGAATATACAATGAAGTTAAAGGCAATTATTTACTTTTCAAGAAAGCATGTCTCATTCAATGTGTTATGGAAATACCAATTAGAATTTTAGGGACACACATACACTTAGAGACAGAGGGACGGGGAAATATAAAGGGAGCTTCGTGACTTAACACATTTACAGACTGCCCCAATACAGGTAGAGTCATACACTGCTCAACAACAGGGATACCTTCTGGGAAATGCATCTTTAGGCAATTTCATCGTTGTGCAAAGATCATAGAGAGTGCTTATCCACACCTAGAGGGTACAGCTTACCACACACCCCAGTTATGTGGTACTAACCTCATGGGACCACTGTCGTATATGTGGTCTGTCATTGACCAAAGTGTCATTATGTGGCCCACGACTGTTTATCAGCCATGCAGATATCCTTTATTTCATGAAATAGTTTTAGAAATTAAATGATTAATTCTTCTGAAGTATTACAAATTTCCTTGGGCTCAGGCTACATATACAACTCAATTTATCTAAAGCACAGAAAAAGCTATCAAATTATAAATCAAAGGTTTTGATGGCATAAGGGCATACTGTTAGTATGTATAAATCACCACCACCAGGAAAGATTCTTAAATTACTCCCACTTACCCTGCAGACTGACATCTGGTTTGTTGTAAGTGTACCAGTCTTGTCTGAGCAGATAACAGAAGTACAACCAAGGGTTTCTACTGAGGGGAGGCTTCGAACAATGGCATTTTTCTTTGCCATTCTGCGAGTTCCAAGAGCCAGGCAGGTGGTGATGACAGCAGGTAGACCTTCAGGAATGGCTGCTACAGCCAGGGCCACTGCAATTTTAAAGTAGTAAATAGCACCTCTGATCCAGGAGCCTCCATGAACTGGGTCATTGAAGTGCCCAATGTTTATGATCCAGACTGCAATGCAAATAAGGGAGATGACTTTGGAAAGCTGTTCCCCAAACTCATCTAGTTTCTGCTGGAGAGGTGTTCTCTCCTGTTCCGTTGCCACCATTTCATCCCGGATCTTGCCAATTTCAGTGTTAACTCCAGTTGCCACAACCACTCCCATAGCTTTGCCAGCAGCAATGTTTGTGCCCTAGGACAGAAGTAGAGAATTGATTACAAGATTAATACCACACCACACTTAAATACTGACTAGTAAACTCAGACTAGTGTAGCTTTTGACTAGAGCATCCAGATTCTCTCACTACATTCTACCGGGCCTGCCAGAGGCTACTATTCAGAGAACCAACCATCCAACTTTGATAATGCGCAATACCTCATGCAGGATGGTGCGGTATAGCTCTCCCTGATTCTCATTTCATGTGGGACCTACTTGCCCCAGAGTAGCTCTACAGTGACCCACCTGGAATCTCGATTCACAACATTGAGACTGGTTTATAGGCTAGATTTGGGTTGGAGCACCGTTCTAAACCCTCTGGGTTCCCAATTTCTTTTTCTTTAATTTTTAATTTTTTTTTGCCAATTTAATATTTTTTTCTTCCTTCTTCTCCCCAAACCCCCCTGGTACATAGTTGTAGATTCTCAGTGAAGGTCCTTCTAGTTCTGCTATGTGGGACACTGCCTCAGCATGGCTTGATGAGTGGTGCCACATCCCCGCCGAAGCAGAATGTGTGAACTTCACCACTTGGCCATGGGGCCAGCTCCCCGCCCAGTTTCTTAAACTCCATACAGCTCTCAACTCTAAGCATTCTCCACCTCTGGCTCTAACAGCTCAACCTCCCCTCCTTTTATCACCTATAATAAAGAAGGGAAGCCAGCACCATGGGTTCCCTTGAGGACCTCCACTCACGCACTGGCATTCAAAAATCAATGAAGTATGAGAGTTCTCTCCTCACCCCACTTCAGCTAGTGTTGGAATGACACTGCTTCATTACTTTCATTGTAACTCTATAGCACTTTACTTACCGTGGGTGGTTAGGCTCCTATACTAACCCACAAAAGCCTACCACTTGAAATAACATTTTAAATTCCAAAGGAGCAAAATTTATAAATTGTAAAAATTTTTATTTCAAAAAAATTTAACAGGAGAGTTGAAACAGTACGTACAATGAACATCCATTTTACTTTTCACACAGACTCACCAATTATTAATGGTGCCACATTTGCTTTCTCTCTAAACACATACCTTTTTTATTGTGGACCACATACACGTATCATCCACATTTTGAAAACATCCTTTATAGGCTAAGCCTTCTCCAAACAAATCAAGTTTTCCACTAGGTTTACAGATAAAGAGTTTAAAGATGTTTGACCTGATCTTTTATTTTAATCCTCAAAAACTTGCCAATTAAAACAAAAAACATCTAGGTCACACATTCTACCATTCTGACAGCTGAGAGTGATCACAAAGAGTAGGATTATCCTTTGGAATAACAGCCAACACTTCCTAAGTTTGACCACTAGAAGGTAAGGAGTGAAAAAAAAAATCTGTAGACTTAAAACTCTGCGAATGTCTCCAAATAAAAATACATTTGATAAAGTATTACTTACAGAAAAGAGCATGTTCTTCTTATCTTGGTTGACAGCCCGTGGGTCAGGGACAGGGTCAGTGTGCTTGATGACAGAGACAGATTCACCTAAGCAGGTGGTAAGACAGAAGGGATGGTCAGACCTGTGCAATCCACACCTAGAATCTGGGAACCCTCATCTACTTATGCCACTACTACTCTCAGGAAAAGGAATAAAAGGCCCAATTTATTCAGAGGTAAACTAGTAAAATTTAGTATTAGAAACTAATTTCAGAGCAAGGAATGTCAGGATTAAAATCAATACAATTTCAAAATAAAGGAACTTAATTTTGAAGTAAAATCCCAGTCAATTACCTTTATTTTTTGGAGTAACTGTTCAAATTTAGTTTATTTTCAGGTATCATTTTACACTCTAATACTGTGAATATATATTTATATATATTTGTTGTATACTTATATATACATACACTCTAATACTTTAAAAAAAGTGAAAGTATATTTATTTTTAATGAGTTCAACTATAGATACAGTGTATGAATAATGAGGATCATCCGCTGGGAAGCCTGTTTTTGTTCAATATTGCCAAAGGTGAAAAATGAAAACATTGTTTTAGAAATATTTACATGCACTAATCAGACCATTCTATTTCAGTAACATTAGAAAACAGCAATCAGTAGTTGCACTAAAAAGAGCACATGGTATAAAGGACTACTTAGAACTTTTACAATGTCTTATCGAATCTGGTTTCAATTTTACTTAATATCACTTATGAAATATATAATCAGGGTCAGTCTGAGTGATGTGAAAATGGCTCCAGTTGTTAATTTAAATTTCAGGCAGGAAACTTCACTCTCGATATTTAACAAAAGAATCTGGTTCTTCAATCTAGCCTAAAACTACAGTATGATTATTTTAACAAAAAAATGACATTCAAGAAACTCGGTGAAAAGTTTTAAAATGCTAATTATTTCTTCAGGCAAACTATGAGAATTTCATACATATAACCCAACCAATTCCCCAACATTTTATGGCTTAATCAACTTCCAGCTTGTTGCTGCTACTGGGAGTCTTAGTAGATAAGCTATTCATAAAGAAACAATAAAAAATACAGAGCCCAGGTTATTCACATTACTACCTCTATGACATTAGTTGCTTTTCAAAACTGATAATCAGATAAATCTTGATCATCTTTGGATTTTATATTTACTCTCTATTTAATTCAGGTTAGTACAGTGTTTATCTTCTGACCACCTTCCTTCCAGTTAATATGAACCCTCCACCCTAGACTGTGCCTTTATCAAATAGAAATATGAAAATATTCCAAACAATCCCAAATCTAAGAGTGCAAACTTTAGGTAGTAAAACATTCACCATTTTTGGGCTTGCTAACTTTGGTTAACTGTACATTTGATTATTGCAAAGTCTGTTAGATGTGAGATTAGCATTCCCTCAGTGAAAAAAAATTACAGCTCTGGAGCCATTTTTCCTTGCCTGGGAAAAGAAGTTTCCACAAAACAGAGACACAATACTTTGACCTAAAGATAATTACCTCTGCTAATGAAGGAATTTGTGTAACCTTTTAAAAAAAAGTAAAAACATAATGGTGATTTTTGGTAAAAACTAATTTTTGATAAAATTAAAAGATAGAAGCCCTATGAGACGAAAGCCAAGTTCGTTTTGCTTTTAAATCATGCCTTTAAACTCCATACGTTAGCAAAAAGCCTAACTGATAAAGCACTAAAAAATAACTATCTTGAAGAGGATTAAGATGGGATACTACAAAGGGACAGTGCGGCAAGAGTTGACTCTATTAGCATGGGCTGTGAGAGAGGCTTAAGAAACTCAATGACCTTCCAATACATAATATTTACCTGTGAGAATTGACTGGTCAACTCTTAGAGTAGTAGATTTGATGGAAGTTAATCTTATATCAGCAGGAACTTTGTCACCAACTAATTGGAGAGAAAAAAGGCAGCTAAAATAAGGGACTTTTGCAATCATGTTTTGAAGAGATGAATCTGTCTCCAAATAAAACACAATTTTTAAAGAAAATAAATAGCCCATATACAGCACAAATACATAAAAATCTGTTAGAGTAAGCAAGATAACTTATCCTCAGAGTCATAAAAATTCTTGCTGGATAGATACAAGATTTGAATTACATAAGAAGAAAGAGAGTGATGCTTGAGGAAACCTCTAAGTATACGTTATTTATACACATACACACACACACACACACACACACACACACACACACACACACACACACACAGAGGAGATAGTGAAGGGGACTGAGATACATATGCCATGGTTTATTCCAAACGAAAAGCTAAGTATCATGAGTAGGAAGCAAATGGCTCTTTAAAAAGATGTTCAACTAATCTCACTCATAAGAGGGATGCAAAATAAAACTACACGGAGACACCACTTTTAAACTCTCAAATTGACAAACGAGAGTTGAGAAAATGCACCAATGTATAGAAACAGGGACTCTTATACAGGGTGACTATAAGATCTGAAAATTTTTAAAGATTTTATTTTTCCTTTTTCTCCCCAAAGCCCCCAGGTATATAGCTGTATATTCTCAGTTGTGGGTCCTTCTAGTTATGGCATGTGGGATGCCACCTCAGTATGGCTCAAGAGCAGTGCCATGTCCATGCCCAGGATCCGAACCAGTGAAACCCTGGGCCACCAAAGTGGAGCGTGCAAACTTAACCCCTTGGCCACAGAGCCAGCCCCTGGAAATTTTAGTTTTAATAAGAAAAAAAAACCCAAAACCAAGCCAGAGGCATAAATCACTCATAGGCAAGTTGCCTGAGCAGAGTAATGAAAATTCTATGTTAGTGCACTGCTAACAAGGGCAAACTGAATGTGTGTAACGTCACTAAACATATCATGTAATATTAACAGTCCATTTAGTACTTATAATTCAACTGTGCTTCCAGGCTTTGTGACCACCCTGCATACATTGCTGAGTAAGAAAAGACTGTTACAAAATCTCTGGAGGGCAATTTGGCAGTATATATCTAAACTGCAACGCACAATCTTTTACCCCACAAATTCCACTACGAGGAATTTATTCTACAGATATACTCACACAATATATGGTTAGTCCCGCACAGTTTTTGTAAATTAATAGTAGAAAGATGAGACAACTCTATTCATACTAAAGTGACAATTTCTAAGATATACTGTGTATTAAGTGAAGAAAACACAAGAGTGAGGCATCAAGTGTATGGAGCTACCACTGGTCTAAGGCAATGCCTCTGGGAAGGTATAACAAACTGGTAACACTAGGTAGGTGGGCACAGGTGGAGGGAGACTTTTAACCTTGTACCCTTTGTTACCTTTTGAAATCTGAACTATCAAATAAATGAATAAATCTCTTGCATAACCTCTAGAAGATCTTCAAGTCAACTGAGTCTTCTTTTCTGTGCCAAAGAGTTCCTTGAATAGCTCTTAAAGGCCCATGTCTCAGCCCCTTTCCTTGATGAGTATAAAGCAAATGCCACAACGCAGACCCAGGAAGAGATAAATCCATTGCTTTACGTGCACTTTGAGAACAGCGTCCAGCACACTTGCAGGTGTTCAAATACTGTTACATGAGCACACATCAGTGCCAAAGCAATTCGACATTAAAAATAAGTGTACAATAGCTTTCCTTGACTTTCTGAAAAGGAACTAAGGTAGTTTTGGAAGTCTTACACAAGGACAGCTAAAAATTGTAACAAATTAGTACAGTCTCCCCTAGAATTGCATATGGTATTTTTAAGTCAAATCTTCATTTTCCATAATTCCATTCTAACTGTCACTGGTTATATATAAACTGGCAAAATAGCCATCCTGTCCAAGAAGCAGATTTATTTCACTTGTTAAACCTTTAACTTAGTTCTGAGTTTTCTGCATTTCAGAGCTTTTAAATTCAAGGAGAGTATGGTTTACTTTTTGAACTCTAGTTCATGAAACAAGCCTATGGTCTAAGTAGGAAATGTGGTCCACGAGGCAGCACAGAAAGAGACTGTCAATATATAATCTCAAGAGGCAAAGATCATCCTTGCCTTTGACTGCAGGGACGGATTAAGTTAAGATGAAACTCCTGCTGGAAATGCTTATGCAACAAATAGCAATAATCAAACTGAATAAACTAGAACCTTTCACTTTAATATAATTCTGCTCGTACTTACAATAAAGTAACCATATCCTAAACTTTAGTGACCCTCAACAGCTAAAAATGCCCCACCAAGATGAAAATTTACAATCAACTGGAAATTATTTTTTACTGTATTATTTCTGGTTGTCATAATTAATTTGATTCAACATGACCTTAAACATGAAAAGAATACAAGCTCAATGACAAGTATATGACCCTAAATGGAAAACTTACTTGACAATGTTCCTTTGATGTCTGAGGCAACTTATGTCCATGATTCTATAGGAGCAGAAGACATCTGTCTAATGTGGGACAGAGATCCCCACAATCTATAAAGCACTGTCACACTTCTGCATTGTAACAGCTAGGTGAACATACACCAACAATCTAAAAGCAGAAATTTCATTTTATACTGAAAGTTGAATCCCTTTTTCTACTTAAACAATTTCCTATATAAGCCCTAGCTCATACTTTCATATACCTGCCATATTTAAGGCCAGCAAATCTAATACTCAAATTGAGGACAAACTACAAGAGGACCCACAAGCAGTATCCTGGCATTTATTTTGCTGTGTTTCAGTGAAAGCTCACAGAATGTAAAATGGATGGAAAATGTATTTTTGAGGCAATAAATACCAAGGTTAAATTTCTTTCCTGGCTAACACAGTAAACATATTAGCTATTAGTTTAAGGTGGGATCAATATTACATATACGCAGCATTAAAAATTACATTTATACTGGCATAATAAAGAAACCAGCTACTTTTCCCCTAACCGTCTATTTTAAAAATATGAAGGCTGTCTCTGTGCTGTAGAAAAATTAGATTGATATACGTTTAATTATTGGCCAAATATTCAAGAATAACTCCAGTGTCAAATGTAGTGGAACAAATGACCTGAGAAGCCCTTAAAAATCGACCTCAAGTTCTCCTTAACTTTTCTTTCATCTTACAACAGCCATTTTAATTGGGAGGAAATTAAACATTTAGGAATTAAAAAAAAGATGATCTGGGGCCCTTTACAGAATCTCAGGACATGCTCTTCCAAGAGTCTGGTTCAATACATTTCGGGTGAGGGTCCATATTTTAAAAAGTTCTCCAAACACACTAAAAAATTAATACAAGAAAAAAACACAAGCATAATAACTAGGGTCATAGATCCTGTGAAGGGCTTGTTTACAACAGCCTTTACTATGTGCTGTTTCTCATGTGCCAAGTATGCCAACTTCAGGCCAAGATGACCCTCAGTCCCTGAACGTTTTACATTTACTTCCCCCCAAGTTTTACATTTAATTTTCTTCCATTAGAAACTGAACTCTTGGGGCCGGCCCCATGCCCGAGTGGTTGACTTTGTGCACTCCACTTCAGTGGCCCAGGGTTTCGCCGGTTCAGATCCTGGGCATGGACGTGGCACTGCTCGTCAGGCCATGCTCAGGCAGTGTCCCACATGCCACAACCAGAAGGACCCACAACTAAAATATACAACTGTGTACCGGGGGATTTGGGGAAGAAAAAAAAAAGAAGAAGAAGATTGGCGACAGTTGTTAGCTCAGGTGCCAATCTTAAAAAAACAAAAAACAAAAAACACAAAACTGAACTCTGTGGAAAGGTACTAAAAAAGCATAAATCCAAACTGGTCTTAAAAACCTGCCATATTCTAGCATTCTCTTAGCTAGAAAGACACATACATTATCTCGACCAACCCATGTCCTCATTTTAGACAGGAAACTAAAGCTAGGAAGTAAAAGGAATCTTGCTGTGTGACTGTGCTTTTTGTTTGTTAGAGTTGATTTAGGATTGAATCTATTAGGAAGCAGGTTCTCTAATGAAGTAAAAGATGTATGAAAGTAAAGATTCAATGAATACTTCTCAAACTAAGACCATTTTCTTTTGTCTGCAGGCTTCTGTGAATTTCAGACAGGGTTTTGTGCCTGAGGACTAGGCACTCTTCTGATGAGCACACCCAGTACTATTTCCCTGATGGGGTATGTCAATGCCTTTAGGGCAAGTGGTAGTGGAAAATTCTTACTCTTGCCAAAGGGATGCTCTGCAATTTTTTCCTTCGAAATTTTTTTTCTCTGTCTCTTGGGTTCAGGTGGTGTAATAAAAGAATAAACTCTTCTAAACTACCTTCCATTTGTTCAACATCTGACACTTTTCAAATTCAGCTCTTGGCTCCTTAAGTCTGTAGCTTTTTAACATGCTATGAAAATAGAGATTTCCACTCTGAACAAAATCCACAATGTATACTTCATGTTAGATTACCGAAAATGCAAGTAAAAGTCAGTTAAAGGCAATTATTACTTTACCACATTGAACTGAACACAAGCTTTCTTTACCTTAAAATCCAGGAAGGAGAGTTTATAAGCCATGATACTTAAACATCGTTTACATCATTATGTCAAAAATAAATAGCGATGGTTAAAATCAGCATTACTCAGAAAAAGCCTTATTATGAATTGGTTATATGTAAAAAAGAAAAAAACCTAACTTACTCTGGCAAATTCCACCAGTTATTTAACTTTTCTAAGAGAAACTATATACAAGATCAGAAATGACCTCTTAAATACCACTATTGTTTTTGAGTTTAAATGGCTCCTGGAAAAAGCAAGCCATAATAGAATTAATTAACCTACATTACTTAAACATTTAACTGTGACTCAAACATTTTCACTACGTTTCCAATTTCAGTCATAAATTTTGTAGTCAGGCAGAATGAATGAAATTCTTCACTTGAGAAGCCCTACTTAAAATTATTTCCAGGCCTCAGGGTGAGCAGGGAAGGAACATTACAAACAGGACA